GTGGGAGGGCGCCCGCGCCGGCTGCTGGTGGGCGTCCTCTGCGTCCGCTCCTCTGCTCCTTCGCCCCTGACCGCGGGGTTCCGCCTGGGGCCGGGCGGTGGGCGCGCTTTTCAGCCTGTGAGACCCCGGCCTGAAGCCCCTTCTCCTGTCCCCCAGCTCTTGGGCTGGAGGGGGCAGTACTTTCGTACTTTTAGAGAAGTGAGGAGCAAGATTGGGGCGCTGGGATGGATTTGGGAACTTTTACAAAATAAAACGGAGGTGAGAAGGAAGAAAAATCCAGTAACGTCCCCGTCGTTGCACCCAGCATCACGGGCAAGGAAGAGCAGGGTCCCGGCGCGGGGGGCGGTTCCCACAGCGTCTTGGCTGCTAACCCAGGGCTCCCAGGAGTAACCCCTTCACGCAGACTGACAAGACAGCCCCCGGCCTGCTTCCCTGAGAAGGTTCTAGATTAGCAAACACCATTGCTTTAACTGCGAATAAGATATTTCAATCTAATTTGCAGACGAGGCCAAAGTCGACTGTGGGGACCCTGGGGAAAGCAAACAAATAAAAACCAAACCAACCCCTGATGTTTAGTGGTTAGCATGCCCAATTCCAAGGAAGCTTGGTGGTTAAGTGCTTGGCTGCCAAGTGGTGAAATGGGGCGTTTCGAATTTGCCAGCTTCTGCACAGGGCAAAGAGGGAGCCATCGCATTCTCCAGAGATCACAGCGTTGGAAACCCTGTGGGGTGGAATCCACTGGATGGCTGAGTTAGGTTCTGGGTTACAGGGTCACGGGAGAGTCTGAATTGACCCGATGATATAAGGTTTGGTCATTTGTTTTGCTCATCTCCGTTCCAAAAGGAAGCACGCTTGAATGACACTCTTCAAATGAGCGGACACTTGCTCTAGTGATGATTGCATTCTCATAGAAGGAACCTCTTTTAATCAGAATAAGTAGACTGATTTTTAATCTGAAGAAAAAGCAAGCTGTATGCAAAGTAGAGATGTGGGCGGGAGAAAGACGGGCCTTCCCACTTCTGTAAAGGACAGTTCTACCCTGCCGGATAGGATTGCTCTGCATTGGCATTAGCAGTGAGAGCTGAGCCAAGGGGTGTGGGCAAAACGTACTGCCCAGGCATTTGGCTTCTTTACTTAATCTGAGAAGTCCCTGCGACTGTGCTGAACAGGGAAAACTGACCACAGGACAAACCAGCCTTGAGCTCTGCCTTGGAGTAGTTTTTGTTTCTTTTTAAATAATTTGTTAATCTTAGCACAGACTTGTGTTATTATTAAAAACAATTGCTGTTTTCTCATTTTAATTGCTCCTAATTTCTGTATATGGATAATTTTGTTTCCTTTGCAATCTTTTTTTTTTTCCGTTTTGTTTTTCATCAATTTAAGGATTTCAACACCCATTCTTTTACAAATGTTATGCTGCCGTTAGAGGGATATTACAGCATGTTCTACCCAGTTGACGTTGAAGACATCCAAAATGTTATCTGTTCAGTGATTGGCAGGCACAGATTTTACCCTTCATTCGCCCTCTATGCTAATCTTCCGTAATCCTGTCTAAATCCCTCATTAGCTGGAAAGAGCTGTGGCAAGGACAGCTCCAGTTGACAGTCAGTCTGCACTTGTCGTTGCTCTCCAGTGGGTTCAGGCTCAGGGAAGCCCTTGTCCCACAGAAATAAACACTGCCTGTCCTGCGGAGCCCATTGTTGCCGCTACTGTGTTGATCCAGCTCACTGGGGTCTTCCTCTTTGTCTGCCCCTCTCCTCTACCAGGCTTGATGTACTTTTCCAGAAACTGATCCCACAAGAACATGTACAAAGCACCTGCGATAAAGTCTCCTCTCTTTTAAGGAGTATTTTGCCTGTACTTCTTCTAAGACATTTGTTTGTTTTTCCATCAGACCGTGACATTCAATATTTTTTTTAACCAACAATTCTCCTTCCAATTCATTAACTACCCTGTTTCCCCCTAAAATAAGACAGTGTCTTATATTAATTTTTGCTCCCAAAGATGCGCTAGGTCTTATTTTCAGGGGATGTCTTATTTTCCATGAAGAAGAATACGGTACACATTTATTGCTTATTGCTTTATTAAAAGAGACCTTGCACTTCCTGTCTGCTCCGGCTGCGCTGTGGCCAACAGTGAGCTGCGCTGCACACCCACCGCTATGGTCCAGAGTCCAGAGTTACGGTAGCTTTTGGGGGCCTTATTTTCGGGAGGATGCCTCATATTTCAGCGAGAGGCAAACCTGTAAGTAGGTCTTACTTTCGGGGAAATGGTTTTCAACTTTCCCCAGCATTTGAAGTAATTGGAAATACCATGGCTTCAGTCAGGCACACCTCAGAAATCAGGTGACATCTTTTCTTTTTAACACCTATTCAAAAGAGGCCTTTTACAGCAGATTTACTCAATGTAATAGTAAAAAAAAAAATCACACCAAAAAAGCCAAACTCACTGTCATCGAGGTGATGCTGATGCATAGTGAGCCCCCTTTGGGTTTCCAAGATTGTAATAGTTTACAGGAGTGGAGAACCCAGTCTTTCTCCCATGGAGCTGCTGGTGGTTTCTGACTGCTGACCCTGAGGATTGAAGCCCAACACATAACCACTATACCACCAGGACTCCTGCCCAATGTAACACTTTGATTTCTTGACTGCTGCAACACGTGGAATGAAATTCTTGGCAGCGTCGATCTGTTTTTCAGTTTATCACGATGTTAAGTACTGGCTCACTTGTGAAGATTGTTGTCTTCACATGGAGGTACATCAGATTGAAAGTTAAGTCTTTGATACTCCAGTAAGTGCTTTTAGCTCTCTTCACTTTCAGCAAGCAAAGTTGTGTCGTAGCTCAGGTTGTTATGAGTCTTCCTGCACGCCTTTCTATGGCCCAGCTTTTTGGATTATATGCTCATTCTATAGATTAAGTGCGGTGAACGGATACAATCGTGATGCACATCTCTTCTGGTTTTAAACCCCATGGTGTCTGTCCCCTTGTTCTGTTTGAATGTCTGCCTCTTGACCTAGATACAGCTACCACATGAACACAATTAAGTATTCTGGAATTCCTATTCTCAGCAGGGTTACTTACCACATTTTGCTGTGATCCACACAGCTGAATGCCTTCGCATAGTGGATAAAACACAGGTCAGCATCTTTTTGGAACTCTGTGCTTTCAGCACTTAGATTTTCATTTGTATGTATTTTGTTGCAATTATGTATTTATGCATTAATTGTGCATTTTATATGGAAATTGAAATGGGAGAAAAAGTACAAGTGTACTTTTCTGATGCAGATCTACATTTGCGCGTAGAAATAAATGTCCCCGGGTGGTGCAACTTGAGTGGTTGGGAGCTTCTGCCCACCAAGAAGAATCTTGAAAGAAAGGCCTTAAAATGAATAAATAAGTGAGGCCTTAAAATAAATGAATGAATAAGTAAATAAATATTCAAATAAAAGAAAGGCCTAGAGATCTTCTCACACACACACACCCCAACCCGACCCCTAAATCAGCCATCGAAACTGGTGGTTTCCGACTGCCAACCATGCAGACTGCCACCCAGCGTGTAACCAGTAAACCCCCAGGGCCCCTACATAACACAGAGTGGGCATTGGTTGACTGTTGTATCTTACTTCCCATAGATAATGGCTCCTTTGGAGCTCGGTTGGACTCCAATACACAGGGCTCACCAGGCATCAGAATGGACTTGATGGCTGCTAGTTAAATAACTCTCTTTGTAATGTCACA